TTCAAATTATCCTCCATTTTGCCTGGTACGTAGGTGGATAAAACAGGCTTTCTTCAGCATTTTCCTAGTAAGTTACTGCTAGTCACTCGAAATAGTAATTAATGACCATACAAATCTTCTCAGCATCTTGTTAAACTGAGAATGCTAATTCATTATGTCCAGGGTGGAGCCTGAGTTCTGAATTTCCAACACTACTTTTGCTCTGAGGCCATATTTTGTGCAAATCTTTAATATGTTCTGCATTTTCAAAGCATATGAGGGGGCATCCCAGAAAACTGAATTTATTTACTAAAAATTAGATATTCATTCTTACACATTTAAACTCCAGTCACCTTTAAAGCACTCTCCATTTGATGCAATACATTTTATTCCCACTACTCAAGACACTTTCTGTACTCATTGACTTTGATGCCTTTTAATGCTTCTGCCATTTTTTGTTTCATCTCTTCCATATCAGCAAAACATTTCCCTTTAAAGACTTTTTTCATCCTGAGAAACAACAACAAAAAAAGTCATTGGGGCAGAGATTGGGTAAATAGGGAGGGTGGGGCACATCCTGCCATTTTTTGGTCAAAAACTGCTGACCCATCAGTGCAATTGGGGCAGCTGTGCTTGTAAATCACCCATCATGAAATGGGCAGACTCGTTTAGTCTTCAAAAAATTTCACTGAAGCTGAAGACAGCCTCTCACAACATCAGCAGCTGGTGCACTGATACAGAGGGTTCCTAGAACACTCACCTAGTGGGGGAAGCCTGTACTGCAAGGGCCTACCCTCCAGAAGACAATTCCAGTTTGGGGGGGCTCCCCTCATATTTAATTGGTGCTTTCCTGCTATTACCTTACATGGCATCCCTAAGTAATTTCCACTCATACTTCATTAGCAATAGTTGAACCTTATTGAATATCTGTTTTATTTTGCCAAAACACATACTCTAGTTTTATTCAGAAAAAAAATGAATGTAGAAAATGATAAATTTTTGGTGTTCCTATCTTAAATATATATACATATATTTGCTTATACTTTATTGATAGATTAGCTTTATCTAAAATTTTTAGGCTTAAATAATTTTGCTGAGCAATTTAAGACTCAGTTTAAAATAGACTAGAGATAAAATTCTGGGTCTGTGTATCTACACTGTAAAAACTTAACCTCTCTGTGCCTTAGTTTCTCTATGTAAAATGAGGATGCTGATATTTATATTATGGAGTTGTACTAGAGAATAAGTAATTATGTGATTTTAAAACCTTCAGAATACAATCTGGCATGTAGAAATTATTAAACAATCTCCCCTAGTCATAGCTAGGTCTGTGAGAAAAACTAGTTACTGCTCTTCCTTTGTAGGTCATCTCCCTATTTTAAAGCATTAAGCTCTATTCTCATGGTTGGGGCTTTGAAATTCTACAATGTCATCAGGGGTGTATTATTCCTATATAGACATCATCCCTAATTCTTTCTTCTTTTTTCTTATTTGCTTAGTATTCTATTGACTAAACGTAGCAATATGTGTTTAACTAACTGATTGATAGATACTTCAGTTGTTTCCATATTTCACCTGTTATGAATACAGCTATGGTAAGCATTCTTTAACATTTTTAGTGTATATATAAACCATTCATTTAGAATATGCAACTGGAAGTGAAATTCCTTAGTCAAAAATATGTTTAACTCTAATAAGGTTAATTGCCAGAAATATTCCTGGTGTGGCTCTGCTCAGTATGTGGTACTCCCATTGCCCCACATTTTTGCCAATACTTTATGTTGTCATTGTATTTAATTTTATTATTCTAATGAGTTTGTATTGGTGCTCATGGTAGTTTGATTTTTTTCATTTCTCTGTGATAATAATGTTGAGTACTTTTTCTCATATATATTACCCATTCATTTACCTCCCTTGTGAAGTACCTTTTTAACTCTCTTGCTTACAATTTTAATAAGTTGCTACTAATTGATTGTGAGACTTTGTTTTTTATCCATAAGCATTGTAAATATTTTCTCTATCTGTGGCCTACCTTTTCCCATTGACTATGGTATCATTTGAGGGATATTTTTTTAAATGAAGTTTAATGTTGAATTTCTTTCTTTTACAGTCAATGCTTTTTGTGTTCTGTCCAAAAAAATCCTTTACTTTTTCAAGTTTACAACATTATTATTTTTATCCTTTGAGATTTTTTTAGTTTTAACTTTAAATTTAGGTGTATATTATATTTTATATAAAGATTTTGTTACATGAAAGTAGGAGTTAAGGTTCATTCGGTTTTCATACAGACATCCAACTGCTTTAACATCATAGAGACATTTTCTGTCACTGAATTGCACTGATACCTCTGTTGAATATCAGTTCATTATGTTTGGAAATTTGCTGTTTTCTTTACCATTTTTTCAATAATGAACTGATCTATTCTTACCTAAACAAAGGCCACATGATATATCAACATACTTTCATATTGCACAAAATATCTCTTCAATTGTAAATATACATACTCTATATTTAACAAAAATTATGTTCATACAAGTAAGCTCACATGAATGTAATCTCAACAATACACCCTTTGATACATGCATTCAAATTGCCTGCTTTTGTACTTGTGTACACAGAAGAGAGAGAAAAGTTAGGGGTTAATGCTTCCAGCTTTGGTCTCAAGTCTCAGAGGAAGCCAGTGTGTGAGGCAGCAGGGTGTAGGAGGAGCAAGAGAATTAATGCCTGGCAAAGAGAAAAGCCAGAGGTTAACACACCTTTAAATAGGCTCTAATCTGAGGTCTCTGCTAAGGGCTGAATCCCAGGAGCCACCTAGAACTGCTTATGGTCATGCAAGTTTTGGTCAGAGCTCAAGGTGAGTGGTTCTCTGTGCCCCACTCATCTCTGCCCTTCCCACAGATCAGTAGGACTCACGGAGGTTCAAAGGAGCTGGGAGGCAAGGAGTGCACTGTGCAGGATGGCCTGATTGACTGGGGGCTCCTTGTCCAGAGATCTGTAGCTGCTGACCTTCCTTCTGAGAGGGACAGAAAGGTTCACTGCTTGCACTGTCCTTCAGGGAAACTCTAGAAAAATAGAAAGACCACTTCCATATACAATTCCTCCCCAAAGGAGGTTAAATCTGAACCTCACCCTGCTCCAGCATTGTGGCTCCATGCTGTAGTTTAGATGCCCCAAAGTGAGAAAACAGAATCTAAATATACCTGAAGCAATTTCTTAGCAAGATCTCAGCCCATTTTATCTTTTGTCCTCTTAAGTTTGAACAACACAAATGAACTAATAAACACAACTATTTCCATATAATTAGTGGAGCAATTGAGTCCCCATACAGCCAGGGGGTGGTAGCACAGCTGGACTAAGCCCATATTCACATGAAAGCAGAACTCCAGTATTGTGAGAATATATTTCTCATAACCATATTTGCTGAGCCAAAAGCTATACCAAGTTCTCACAAGTTAGACTGTATTTGGAGGAAAAGAAAAATTGAATGTGAAATTCAGTGTGTGATCACCCTAGCTATAATGCTTGAAAAAGATGACTAAATTTCACCTTCAATATGTAGTATGCTCACAAGCATGCTAGCCCATGAAGGGTGGGAAAGGACAACATATTTAAAATCAAGGAAGGGAGGAAGGAACGTGGTACAAAAAGGAAAAGGATAATACTCTTCTTTCCCTATGCTTTATGGAATGAACATTTCCATCCCTAAACCAGATGCAAACTTATAACCTGTGCTTCCCCTCAAAAACATTATTGAAAACTTCACACACTGCACAAAAATGATCAAGGATTAACTCCCTTTCCACTCTCCATGACTTATATGGCCTGAACTCTGCATGTGTTGAGTGTGTAAGTTTGAGAGAAAAAAAGAGAGAGAGTGAGAGAGAACAGAATTGCTGATAGCAAGGGCACCAGATTCAATGGGAGAGCAGCAGAATATACAGAGAGAAAAGAGGCTCCTGTTGATGGCATCCACATCCTACTTCAGACTTGGGCCCAGGTCAGCTTTACCCTTTCAGTGTTCACCCAAGAGAGAAAACCTTACAGCAGAAAATCAGAGGCAACGGAATGAGGAAGCTGAGAAGCATCTCTTATGGGAGAGAGCTCTGGTCTGTGAGAGGCCATTTGAGAGTCTGGGGTATAAATGAAGCAGAGGCAAGAAACTAGCTTTCAAAAGAGACAGCACACTGTGGATAGCTGAGCCCTGGCTGAGAAGAGTCACCACCACCCCCACAAAAAGCATGTAGAACGGGTAAGTTCTCCATTAAGGCTCATAGAGGCAGAAACTAATAAAGATGCTATCTTATAGAAAGCAGCCCATACAAAGAAGACCAAACTGGAGCATATTCTAGAGCCACTCCAACAAAGTGGCAGACATTCTGGCTTCAAATACAGATCATTCTATAATATTCGTATATAATTTTGTGTGTATCTTTCATATCCACCTTTGTTATGATAAGGCAATGATCTCTGCTTTACTCCACAAGGGCAAGTGTCCCCATCAATCATTGTCTAGCAGAGGCAGTGGTGTGTATGACCAAAGCACAGGGTGTGGAGTCACGTACTTGTCTCTAATTTATTGTGTTTCCCTACTGGCTTCCTCCCTGAAAGTTGCCTAAATGGGATAAAAAGACCTAGTGCAAAGTTTTAAAAAATCAGTTGTTACTTCTAAAGAATAAAATGATGAGAATTACTATGACAATATAGATCAAGATAGTTTTCACTGAGCAGATTCTACTTTCAAGAAAAATTTGATTCTTATTTTAAAAATCACACTTATGCCTAGTACATTCTGAACCCATTTTGAATAGCATAAGTATGAATAATCTGGGGTAGTGTAACTCTATGTTGCAAAATTCTATTTATTGAAACAGTTGAAATTATTCTATTTTATCATTAAACCCAGTTGCCCTATTATTCAACTACTCCTTCCAAAATATTATGAATAATACTTTTTTTGATTTGATTGTTATCACTTGTGCAGAGTACATTCCCTTCTCAGTGAAGAACAATTCAACCATGCCGTGATGTTGGCTTCAGGAAACAGCTCTTCTCATCCTGTGTTCTTCATCCTGCTTGGGATCCCAGGACTTGAGAATTCTCAATTTTGGATTGCCTTTCCATTTTGTGCTATGTATATTGTGGCTATAGTTGGCAATATAACTGTACTTCATGTAATTCGAACTGACCACACCCTGCATGAGCCCATGTACCTCTTTCTGGCCATGCTGGCTATCACTGACCTGGTCCTCTCTTCCTCCACCCAACCTAAAATGCTGGCTATTCTCTGGTTCCATGCTCATGACATTGAATATCATGCCTGCCTCACCCAGGTGTTCTTCATCCATGCCTTTTCTTCTGTGGAGTCTGGGATGCTCATGGGTATGGCCTTGGATCATTATGTGGCTATCTGCTTCCCACTTCATCACTCTAGTATCCTGACCCCATCTGTAGTAGGTAAACTGGGGGCAGCTGTGATGATGAGAGCACTGCTGTGGGTGAGCCCCTTCTGCTTTATGCTCTCTAGGCTGCCCTTCTGCCCCAACCAAGTCATTCCTCAGTCATACTGTGAGCACATGGCTGTGCTGAAGTTGGTGTGTGCTGATACTAGAATAAATCGTGCATATGGGCTCTTTGTGGCCTTCTCAGTGGCTAGCTTCGATTTGCTTGTCATCAGTGTATCCTACGTGATGATCTTGAGGACTGTGCTGGGGTTGCCCTCTAAGGAAGCCCGACTGAAGGCTTTTGGCACATGTGCCTCCCATATCTGTGTCATGTTGGCTCTTTACATCCCAGCCCTCTTTACTTTTCTCACCCACCGCTTTGGTCATCATGTGCCCAGAGTGGTACACATCATGTTGGCTAATCTCTATCTACTGGTCCCTCCCATGCTCAACCCCATCATCTATGCAGTGAGAACCAAGCAAATCAGGGACAGAGTTATTCAAGGATGCTGTGGAAAAGACCCATGAGCCCAGGGGCATAGCATCACAACCAACCCAATTGCCCTACTGATCTGGGGAGAGAAACACAGAAAGTTTGCCTGGCCATCACATGTCATCAGTAAGTCATTTCTGTGAACAACTGGCTCAGAGGTCAGCCAGCTTTCAAAAGCAAATGGAAACCATTTTCAAGATGCCAAGAATGAGCATTCTTTGTGAGATGCAGTTGATAAATGCTTAGTTCACCTATGTTCATCATCACAAGAAAACAGTAAAAAATGTCTACTTCTAAAATTAGTGAATATTTGAAAAGGATGTCACTTTACACAGACCACTAAGGTAAAAATTGTTTATAGAAGAATAAGTTAGTATACTTTGCAAAAAAGGAGTATAGATATTTCCAACAAAATGGTTAAATATGTATATATTTCCTCTATATTAGAATCTTTTTTATAGAAATAACATTTTGTGAAAAAAAGTACAAAGACATGTATAGATTTATTATTTATAAAAACCAAAACAGAAAAACATTCAAATATTAATCTATAAGAGACCAGGTGAAGCAATGAGCAATTGAATGTTATATATCATTTAACTATTACATTTGTAAAACATGTCTAAGGATGTTAAAATGGTCAAGTTATAATATTAAAAGATAAAAATTAGATTCAGAAAATACACTCAAATGCTAATAACAGCTACTTGGAGTAGTGAGATTTGTGGCATTTTCGTTAATTTTGCACCTTTATTTATTATTTTTAAATTATCTTCAATTGAGGAACTTTAATTTTAATATGAAAACAAGTAATTAAAGCAAAACAAAGTGCACAGATGAGGTTAATTAAGTGCCAAAATCTAGGGGAATGCACTGGGCAATCTGTGAGGATGAGTGGCTCTAGAATAGATTAAGTTCCAGAAAGCATAAAAATTTAGATGTAAAATTTTCAGAATCTCAACTAATTCAGACTGCTAACAATTAGGTTTAGGTATTCTGAGTTGGTCTCTCTTTACAAAATTTGCTGATTTCCTGATGATAATGGATTTCAGAATGAAGAAGTTTAGGGAAAGAATAAGGAAGGAGACTCTTCTCAAGGTAACTATATTGTATGGTTAAAGATAGTAAAAAACTCCCTAGAACTTATAATAGTATTTGTTAGTATTCGATTACCTTTTAAAACTTTAAGCTCTTTTACAAAACTATGTTTGCTTTTTTCATGGCTTCAACTTTACTGAGGTATGCTTTATATGAACAAAGTAGCATATATGTAATATGTGCCATATTTTGATGTTTGGAAATCCTCATACAAGCCATAAGCATATTAGTTTCCATCCTTACATTTGTATTTTTATGTTTGTTCACCACTCTCCTGTCAAAGACAATAGTAAAGAAGGTTCTAGAATTTAGGTTTTAATATTACTAAAACCAACATCAGATAAAGATGCTTTAAGAGGAATCAGCAGCATGTTTGCTTCTCCCAAAAGAAATAGCTCTTGGAACCTAAAATTGTCCCCAGAAGTTAAGCAGTATTCTGCAGGATTATTTTCATAATTCCAAAATTTTATAGTTGTAAGAGATCTTGGTTCCCTTATCAACAAATCAGTTAATGATTGTGAGTTGCCCTGTTTTTTTCTTATTCAAACTAACTTCATTATTGTATAACTTGTGATAATAAAATCGAAATATTGTAATACAGTTTGATGAATTCTGACACACATAAATGTCTGTATAGCTACCAGCCTAGTTAAACTATACAACATTTATATCACTTCATAAATATTTCTCCTACTTCTTCAGAGTCAGTCACTTGCTTCCACCCCAAACAGGTAGATGCTGACATGATGTCTATCACTATAAATTAATATTTTTTATAAATAAAGAACTAAATGACACATTTTTAGTGTGGTGTTTCCTGCTCAGTATAAAGATTTTTCAGATTGACCCATACTCTTACATGTAGAAGGAGTTCATTTCCTATTATTGCTGAATAGCATATTATATTTTTTCAGCACACTACAATTGGTATATTATTAATTTTCTCCTTTGCTTCAAGCCTTGTACTCTTGTTTATTTCCAAACACATCAACTACTATCTATCTTACTGCTTTGCTCTTAATCATCCACTTTGCTCCATTGTTCTTTTCTAGGACATTTTGTCTCCCTCTAGTCATCCTTTAGGTCTCAACTAATACCACCTTATTAGCAACATATTTTTTAACCTATGTATCTCAGTTAGATCCTGCCACCTATAATTTCCTTCAACACAAATATTTTATTTCCTCCTTACCTTAACACAGTATGTAATTATTTAAATTACTTATTTATCATCTATTCCTCTGACTTGAATATAAATTCTGTAAAAACATTGCATACATGCTCACTATTCTAGTCCTAAACCTAGCTCACTGCAAAAAACACTAGCAACATGAATGAATGATTTAATCACATGTGCCTGATTTCATTGTCCCAACAATTCCACTACTGACCACAAGATGGTACTTACAAGTTTATTTTTGGCTTATTTCTACAGAACTGAATACCAGACCCCTCAGTCCTAAGAGCTCCTTTAATCATTCCCATGGAAATGTAAAGGATGCTGTCAGTTAAATAAGATAAATCTGTTATGTAACTAAAATTTTCCTTCATTCACTTCTTTTTGTTAGGAAATTTTAAATATTTGGAACATATATCATTTATCTATTGAGCAATTATTCTACACCACGTGCTCTGTAAGAGGATGGAAATAGAGTGGAGGACAAGAGAAATTGGCGATCAGACAATCTGATTAGTATAAGGCTACCAAAATGACCATGCCAAATACCTACAATTCCAGCTTCAATATAAAAACAATAATTACTGAAGTCATGCAGGTCTGCCATGATCAGAACCAAGCTTAAGTATTATAAATCAGTGAAAATAGATGATTGCCTTCAATAGGACCTGAAAAACCCAGAGGGTCCAGGGCATCAGATTTGTGACTAACCTCAAACTTCTCTCTAATCATTAGCAAAACTTACCAAGTGAGCACTTTGAACGGGGGACTCAATTTCCCATTTTTAAGAGGGGGAGCATCATTACCATGCCTCTTTTCTCTCAAGTAACACATATCTCTGATGAGACATAGTGACTAAGACCAGACAGAACTTAACAAAAGCAGTCCTTGGCAGGGCAGCTTCTCCTACTCTTTAAACATTACTCAGAGCTGAGCCAGGCTTTTAGGGCTTTTTTCTACAGTAACTTCAAAAGGGAAATGTTTCATCTCTATTGTCTACTCTGTACAGAGCTAAACACAGTATTATCGGTATCATGACATTTCACACTTAAATTCAGCAAACATTTCCTCTTTCATTTAATGACTGAAAATACTGTGCTTGGTGCTAGGATTGTGGACATTAAACTTTTGTCTTTCATCCTATAAACTTCCCTATGTACTCACAACACCTGGTACAATCTGCTGTTGTCATACTCACTCCTTTACACCCTAATGATTTGATGTTGGATTTTAATGTCATTCTCAGTCTGCTAAACCTGAAGTCTTTCACACAGGCTGCTCTATCCTGAGCCTCGAACTCCCAGTGCCTGAGGAGGGACAGAAAGGCCCAAGGAGGTACCATGCCTGACTGCAGATCACATCTTTCTCCCCAGCGCTATCCCAGATAAACCTGTAGTCTCAGTCTTTGGGCCCTGATCCTCAATTGTCTATCTTAAGTATAGACTATCATGGAAAAGATTGGGGATTCTCTAACATCTGGACCCCCGCCAGATAGTTACCATCCCCAGCATTTCTTACAGGCCTTGCCTCACTGCACCTTGCCTCACTGCATGTGCATATGTCCAAGTAGGTGTAATCATCCAGTTAAAGTTTGTAGATGAGGAAACAGAAATGAAATAATCTAAGTAACATGCATGGTGTATTTCAGAGCCAGAATGTACAGCAGAGCCAGAAAGTGGGGGGGGGGGGGAATAAACAATAAAATTAAAAATATATATTAAAAAAAAACAAAACCCAAACCCCTAGGTAAGAAGAAATCAGGTGCAGGTCGTAGGGAGGCCTGTAAATACAGAATTTTGGTTTGTTTAATTCTGAAGACATCCATATGGTATTCCATTTTAATGATGCTCCTGGTCTTGTTTAGGGACAAAAATGCACTTTAAGAAGAGATTGGAAAAGAAATTCATGAAATATCAGGGGGGTCACTTTGTAAAGTACATGATTGTCTAACCATTGTGCTGAAAAAATACACAATAATATTGAATATAAACTATAATTGAAAAATAAAATAATAATATTAAGAAAGAGATTTGTGCAAATTTGTTTCTTAAAGGAAACAGCCCCATTTTAAGCTTCATGTTTTTAAAAGAGGATCAAGGCCAGTGGGGAGGGGATTGACACAGGCCTCCACTTAATTGGCTTGCAGTAGCAAAGGCTCAGTGCATGTGGTAAACCAGATCTGCAGCAACGGTTCTCTTAATACCAGAAACAGCAGTAATATGTGCATGGTCACTGCAGCAAGAAGGTGTAAGCCAGACATCAAGAGGGGAAGAGTTGCTGGGGAAGAGTTAATATTGTTCTGGAAAAGGAATAGAGAAGTCCATAATGTGTTGACATAGATTCTGTACCAAGTGGGATGGTTGCTTGAATTAACAATAAAACTTATGTTTGAAGCTGGTGTCCTTGAGTCCACATGGGCGAGGGTCATGCCTTCATTTAGTAATTTTTGTCAATAGTTATACTTCTATGTGTCATTTTGTCTGACTAATCCTCAACAGCCATGTTTTTTTATGTCTTTGTACTGGTAGAGAATTTTCTAAGGCAGCCACCAAATCATTCTTATTGCTGCATATCAAATACTTAGCCCAGAATAGATTAAGTGCTTAAATATTTGTTACATGAACAAATAAGTGAATGAGGGATACTATATTCTAAAAAGGTCTTATGTAGGATTTTAAAAAGATAAATCATTTTTTGGTTTCTCGAATGCTCTAATTTTCACAAGGCAAAAGAGTACATGAAACTAAACTGCATTACTGA